ATTTGGGCTACCGATACCAAATCTCAAAGAAAAAAAAAAAAATGATTGGTTTCTGGTTGGTCCGATAGCAGAGTTCTTTGCTACTTATCCTTTCAAGTTATGTTATCTTTATTACTGGGAAAATGCAGGTATCAATGAAAGTCCACATCACCGTGTTGTAAGTACTTTACGTCTCCAAAAGATCGTCAGAAGCCCAAAGGACAAGATCTCCCATCTGGTTATATCAATGTGGAGCGAGGTATACTGATCGCTCGACAGTACCCTTTCTGAAAGTGTTCAGGAACACTTTCCCACATGGTTGCAGAAAAGTAGTAATGGCTGTCTAAGGAGTGTGATAATCAAACTACCTTGCCAAAACTGGTCATTCCATCTCAAAAAACGCCTCCTTCAAAGTGGTCTACAAAGAGAAGAATAACCTACGAAAGGCAATACGCTTCGTGTCCTTTGCCTTGCTGAAGCTTTAACCATTCAGATAGGCAAACTGGAGCTATGCACACAGAGTAAAATTATTTAACCATTTCTACTACCACTATTTTTGTTTCCTTGTTTTTTAGCTGCTTGTAATTCTTATATTTCTTCAGAATTCTTAGAAAATTCCCTATTTTCCTTGGTTTTTATTTAAATCCTGGTTACAGCTCATTCATTAAATGATTCATCCGATTATGTAACTACAGTGCACTTATTCAACACTGACTCATATTATTAACTATGCTTGTGACAACTCATCACTTTTGGTTACTACCATCTCTTTTTAAAAAGTTGTATGTAAATACGATTGAATTCGCCCTAAACAAAAGCCTCTTCACTGAACTACTTGTCTTGCTTTTACTAGTAATTTAGCTGACGCGTACGCCAAGTCTCCAAACCATACTGGAGCACTGAATTGACATTAGTGTTGAAAATCCAGATCCTATTCCTTGTGCTAAATACATGAGATTTGCCAACTGACCAATTTTAGATAAGTCTATGTTTTGATTGGACACTAGTAACTAGTGGGATGTGTCTAGTGCTTTCTTTGGTGCAGACTGAATTCTATCAATCAGGTTTGCAATGTGATCACCGTTCTAGGTAGCTCGCCATCATCGTGCACATTGATTTGATGATATAAGATGGTTGAAAGCAATCGGCAGGAAGCCGATCTAATATCGTCACATATCAGACAAGTTACTAGTGTCCAACCAAAGTATCCATCGCAGTCCTACAGGAAGTCAGTCGCGATCCTCCATAGCTTAGTGGTAACGTCTCTGACTGCTGTGCTGGTTGATGCGGTTTTGAATCTAAGAAGGGAGATGAGTACCTTCAAGTTTACAGATAGGCCTTACTGACCATTGAGTGCCAATTAGCATGATACTTAGGTCCAAGGCTTCCTTCCGATTGCCTCCAACAAACATCTTTCTAAATTGCTAATATCTATTGTATCGCTATCTTATCTCCAGTGAACAGCTGTTTCGCCCCAGCCTGTTCGGACTACTCCTCAGAAATATGCCGGCTGTAAGGCTATGTACTGCAAATCGACAGAAGTTAGAATTTATTCAAAATTGCATTCTGTTTCAGTAGCTAAACAGTAATTTTTTGATTATAGCTTCAAACCACACAATATTTTTGATATAAGTATGGAATTTTCAGCATGGATATCGGTAGCCCGAAATTTGCAGGCCAACCATAGATATCAGGTGTGCGTCGGTAGAGGATCGAACCCCGGACTATATGCATGGTCGGCGGGAGTCCTCTAACCGCTGTGCTACCGACGCACGTTCACCTAATGACCTGAATGTATCGTGTTCGATCTCCGATGTGCTCATGGGTGAGTAAAGGTGTAGAGAACCAAGCTAAGATAACACAATTGTCCAGTACTACCTTGTTTTCAACGATTTTCTAAATGGTGTCACTTTATGACGAAAGGCTTTAATTTATTTTGATGTTTTACACGGGGAAAAGACAGTCGATTTGGAACAGTATATGAGTCGTAGTATATATCACAGGCTTTCTATGTTGTCGTCTTAAATCATGTGACATAAACACTTACAAAGATATTACAATTGTATACGACCAAACTTCACCGATAGAATTTAATCTGTAGTGAACAAAGGACACATTACACATGCCACTAGTTAGTGTCCAATCAAAAGTATCCTAATACACTCCTCCTACAGGAAGTCAATCGCGAGTTCGGGTAGCTGCTCAGTGGTAACATAATTTTTTAGAATTAACTCCATGAAAATAAGTAATGCTTAGTGAAAGCTATACACAGAATATTAATCGTAAACGAATGAAAATGAGTATTGCATTGACATCTAAATGAACCTTCACATTCCCAGTGGTACATAGGGATTCAAGCTAGTGGCGTGAAGTTTCTGTAGCAGTGTTTAATTTTACACGATGGGTTGCTAGCCCCATGCCCAACCTTTCCTCTTTACCAGCATTACTTCTGGCTTAGCGAGGTAAAGGAGTGCGTCGGTGGCCAAGGATAGAACCCCAGACCATGTACATGGTCGGCGACCGTTCTAACCGCTGTGCCACCGACGCAAAAACCGAAAGTGCACATTTTTAAAAAACACAAGCAGATAAATTAACTAGATAACTAACTGACCCGAGGTGAAAGTACAGCACCACGTCGTGAACGATTATTATCCAAATAATTGCTTGGTCTGTTAATCAAATTAAAGTGTAAAAAACAAATAATATGAAAAGGTATACTGAAATGTACAACTTTGACGTATTGGAAAATTGGAGATTTCATGGCAGTTATATTAATTCAAGCTTCTTTTACGATGTTAACAAAATACATTCTGCTGAATATTTTCGTCTCTTTCAACAGTGAAGACTCTAACACATATAGACACACATACATACCTTTGCGTGAGGTCTTGAGATATTACCTTGCTGCCTAAACCTCATTAAATGGGGTGAGAGTTCAGAAACGTGACCCAACGGATGGAATTCAAGCGCCTACAAAAAAAGCCACAGCTACACAACTCTTACGGCTACAGACTGATCGAAATAAAAAAAAACATCAGAATCCTTAGTCTAATTATGTTTCTCAGCATGCATAGCCTAGACGTATTGTTTCACTATGTGTATATAAGACTGCAGAACTGGGTGACACGGATCCGAATCTCAAAAGGGATACCTTACAGATACATAAACCTTGTTGACTGGTGAGTGTTGCCAAGAACGGACCCCTAGGTTCAAGACTTCTTACAACCATCCGACAACCATAACAATTTAGAGTACACCATGATGGCGAGTCATCTAGTACCGTAGCCAAATTGTAAAGTTGACGGCAAAGTTAAGCACCACTAACTACCAATTTTACTTTTTATTTTTTTATTTTTGATTACAACTTGATTCCACACTGTATTTTTGGTACAAGTGTGGAATTTTCAGCGTGGTTATCGGTAGCCCAAGATTCGCAGGCCGACCATAAATATCAGGTGTGCGTCGGCGTGGGCTCGAACCCCGGACCATGTGCATGGTCGGCGAGAGTCCTAACCACTGTGCCACCGATGTACCAATCAGCGAATGACCTCGAACGCACCAATCACATGAAGGAGGCGTTTTTGTGTATGGAATACACATATATATTTACGAAAATATTGCATAAAAACTATTTAAAAGTGTTACAGAGGATACCTTTCTTCACATGTGATAAAAATATCTCTCAGTTTTAGGTTGGAGTATCAACAGAGTATAATTTCATTGTGGGTAAAATTTATTTTGATAAAGCTCCATAGTGCCATACAGTAATATTTACTGAGCAATAGATTGTGCTTGAAACGTCATCAGTAAATATCACTGTATAACACTCTGAGACTTTATCAAAATGAATTTTACTCACAATGAAATTATACTCTGCCACACTGCACAAGTTCTATTCTTATATCAACAAAGAAATTTAACCACATTCTATGCATGTAATTATTTAGGTCTTCTAACCCTAACAATAACCCGAATCTTTCCTGAACTTAACCCTAACGTGGAAATATCCCTAGACTAACTGTAACCTAACTCGAACCGACCCTAATGTCGCTCTCATTAATATAACCTCACCCTAACTTGTCCGTGGCTTAAACCTAAGCTGAAAATTGCCAGACATCCCATGTAATAACATAACACTTCGATTAGCATATTTTATTGATGCTGACAATATTATTTGCCAGGTTTCACGAACTTGCTCATTGAGCTTTTCAAGGTCATTGGTGAGGTCACACTCCATTGGTAGTTAGTGGTGTTTAAAGTTTAACTTGGCCAAATCGGCTAATAGAATTCACTCTGCACTAAGATCAAGGACTAGCTGTATAACATTAGTTACCACCTAGCGTCCATTGAAAATATATGAAGTCTGTAATCAACGTTTCACATTCATATACAATGACAAAACAATGAAAATTTACTGTACGATTTATGACAATGAAGATCAGTTAACCAGTCCAGTTTTATCCAGTTCTAAGTTTCCCTTATAGCATGCTATGAGAAAGGATGTCAAAGATGATGAGTATTACTGACTAATAGTTCCTTCAGGATTATAAAGGCACTTTACTGACGAGTAACAATAAGCACGAAACCTAGATGGTCCAGGAGTTCTTGCCGATTACCTCCAAACATGTAATAATAACTACTGTTCTATACGGTAAGTAGTATCCGATTAAGTTTCAATCTGTCTTATAGAAATCCAATGTGAAAACACCATTTGAAAATGAATGTTCACTCGATAATTTGTCTGAACGGCTGAATGACGTGTTCACACGTCCATACATTCAAATTATTATTCCCATGGTTTCTGTGTGGAACATATACGGCTTCAACATCATATTTCCAATTCACCCTGTTCCCTGAATTTCATCTTTAGCTAACCCCACGATTGCACACAGGCTCTCATTTCCTCATACGATCTCCTTCATGTCACCCTCTGACAAATGCTCGACTAATGGTTTCCCATTCGAAGTCCACTCGGGAGCGTAATGTCTCCCCCCCCCCAATGGTCTCCTCAGAGTTTTCCCGATCCATCTTCATTTTCTTCGTAATATTTCTTAAGCAACAGGTTCTACTAGATTGGTTCATTCCCAGAGCTTCTCTTGTTGCCTATACTTTCTGGTTGGCCATCTGATCTTCAGTACAGAGTCAGTGAAGGCAGCTGTTGATAAAAGTCTGCGTCAATGACTTAACAGTGTTGTTGAAAATCTAAATTTTGTTATTTGTACTGAGTTTAGAAGATTTTTCAAACTGATATCTGAGTGATATTGATCCATCTGCCTTGCCTTTCCGGTTCCGGTTTGCACATCCTCAATACATTCCAAACTCCTGTTCAAAGTTTCAAAGATAGTTTTCTACAATTTCTCACCTTGTGTATCTGATTACAGTGAATGAACTAAAAGATGAGTGAAAAGTTATCCGACAAAAAAAGGAAGGTTAATAAACTACAAAATAAAATATACTTTTCTAGAAAATAGATGTAAACACCATTCGTTGAAACAGTTAAACCATTGAATTCCCAATGAATTAAATCTGCTTTTTCATATGTAGCACTGCACCAAACAACTTTCCATTTTAGTTCAGCTAAATCAACGAAAGAAAAAAATTCAACAGAAAAAACATTGAAGGAATTGATGTACACATTTATAAATGAATAAAAGAAGTGAACCACTACTTATCACATGTTCACATTTATTTATAATGTGACTAATAGTAGAGGAGTTAAGGTTGTTGGAGTTACAGCGAACATTCCCTCTTTTCTAAGTTCAGTATATGCTAGGCAAGGTTTAGGAGTGCGTTGGCCCGAAAGCGAACCCAGACCTCCCACAATATCCACTACCATTGAACTATAAAAGCAACAGTCGTATTTCATTGAACCATATCTTCACCAATAACAATCTCTTTGAACAAACTCATGAATAGGTGAACAGATTTTGTCATTACTGAAGACCACTGAAGACCAACAAACCTCTACTTTAGCAACAGACTAAGATTCATTTTTAGAAAGAACTGAACACCTGAGAAACTCGTATGTGAGGTGTATTTGACAGTTAATCTACTTGTCAATCGCCATGAATGCACAGCGTAGCTAACTGCAAGCTAGATTGTGATTCCATCTTTACCAACAAATGTTTAGGTTCACATCAGAATAATAATACATAAGTCACAGACTGATTATTTCTCAAACTATCCCACTTCCATGATAACTGAGGTTGGAAAAATTCTATATATATTATGTTATTATTCCCATGAGTCTCAGGCAGCACGCTCCCATTTAACTGTGTTATCTAAAGTCTTTTTGAATTGGTTGCACAAAAGCCCTTAGGCTTTTACTTCCCCCTCACTTGATGCTGCCCTTCATGTCATCCCTGGACTTACACTCAACTCGCTGCTTCCCATCCGGGTAACACTCGAGTACCTGGTGCATGATGTAAACGCATAACGCTTGTTACCACCTAATGTCCAATCAAAGGATTCCATGCGGACCTACACGGGGTCCATCGCGAGCCCAAGTTGCTTAGTCGCAACGTCACTGACTACGACAGTGGATGACACGGGTTCGAATCTCAGAAGGAACGTGAGTAACTTCAGGAGTGTAGGTACACCTTGCTGACAAGTGCCAACAAGCACGAAACCTAGATCGAAGGCTTCCTGCCGACTGCCCCCAGCCACCTTTTCAGTATATATATATATATATATATATATATCCGTTTCACCTTCATTTCCTTCTGCATATCTGTTAGGTAATAGGTTTTTGACTGGCTCACTTACTGCTAGAGTTTCTAGTTAGCTATCCTTTTCGGTTAGCCATATGATCTCCAGGTTTGTGTCAGCGAAGGCAGCTGCTGACGAAGGTCTCAAAAAAAGTTCTTAAAAGAATAAGTCGAGCGCTGCGACCACAGTGTATTATTATTATCATTTTATTACTTTACGTTTACATAAGGTTTCAAGCTAGAGCTTTGAAATTTCGGTAGCAGTGGTATTTATTTTAACGGGATGGGGTTGGCAGCCTCATGCCCAAGCTTCATTCACTACCAGTCTTATTACTGGCTTAGCGAGGTAAAGGAGTGAGTCAGTCGGGGATCGAACCCCGAACCACCTGAGTGGTTGGTGGCGATAAGAATGCTCTGCTTGTTGAAGAGTTGATACAATTTCAGACAAGTTTAAAAATACTTTAAATTACTAAACAAAATAAATATGCTAATAAAGTAAGCTGTTTGAATTAATATCAGTACTTTCATAAATCATGAAAAATCAACATCAAGGGGCTGTCGTGATAGTACTTACTACAATTAAAATCTTCATCAATACTAGCACGCATCAGATAACCGTCTACACTTGTCAGTAATAACTGTTCATTATCCAAATGAATACCTGAAAAAAAGCAATAGCGATTGAGTGATAGCCTCTACAGTTCAGATGAGAATGATGCAAAATTTTATGCTACAATTAATCAATGAAAGCTAAGTGAACAGCAATAAAAGTTATTAAATATCCGCGATGTCAGTCGACGTCTCCTCATCGTCTATCCGATCCATCTCCATTTACTTCAGCAGATTTGTTAAGCAGTAGTTTTTTTTTTATTGGTTCAGTCCAACAGCTTTATGTTGTTAATTCTTTCCGACCGGCCATCTGAACTTCAGTATGGAACCAGCAAGGGTAGCCATTCATAACAATCTGCAATCTGGGAATGCTTTGCGCGATGCAAACGCCAAGTTTCTGCAGCATATAGAAGAACTGACTTAAAGTTAATTTAGAAAATCCAAATTTTGTTCTTTATGCTGAATGGAGTGTGCTTCCAAACTGATTTCAGAGTGATAAAGGTCCCGCTTGCCTTTCAGATACTGGTTGGATCTGGATATCCTCATCCATCCTGATTGTAGTTGAAACGATGCTGCCTACATTAGTGAAGGCAGTGACGTCTTTCAAATCTCTCCCACTGATAGTGATTACTACTTGTTGTGATTGGTTGAGTACCTTAATCACCTACATCTTCTCTATGTTCACTCCGAGTCTTTGCTGTCTTTGCAGCTAGCTGCTAAGGAAAATTTATTGGTTTTCGTCTGTAAGTCTTCAGATTTATGTGACATTAGATATTAATCATCCACGAAGTCCGAATGTTCTAGAATCTTCTTATCAGCCCAAAAATTCCTGTCTTCTAACTGCCATGCAAAGTCGTCCGCGCCGTCCAGTACACCACAATTAGGAATATCATCAGTGATAGTAAGCATCCTTCATCATCCTACTTGTATATTCACTTTAGACGCTTCGCTGAGTTGTCCGCTGTGAACCACTTCACAAGTGGCACTGTCATATAGCCAACTGTTGAATGAGGTTGATGAAGATTTGAGACAATAAGTAGCGCTTCAATCTGATCTGCATATAATTTGCTTTTCCTGAAAATAGCTTGTTCGGGGGGGGGGGGGGTGAGTTCCGCATCTAGTACACTTTTTAATCTCACTGGAATGATGCGACTTAATTGTTTCTCTTGGTGTTGGCATATCAGATGAGAGATAAAACACTAGTTTTCTACCAACTGAAACAGAATTTTTTACAAACAGATGCATCAAATTACAAATGCAGCTCATCAGTAAACCTAGAAACAGAAGACAATAAACCTCTTTTTTCAATTTGAACTCAAAACCTTCAAAGAACTAGGAACTATTTGATAATTTATATAGCAGAAGCTTTCATCAACACAATAAGTTTAAAAACTGGGTATCTAGATCACTGATATTGTGGTGAGAGCTGTCTGCTAACCAACATTGGTAGACAGCAATTTACGCCAATGTTTACGTCCCAAATCTCTTGGTCATGAGAAAAAACGAGAACAAAGACTATCCTCGAGGAACTCAACAACCAATCACAGCAAACTTAGCGTGGGCGGATACGATTAGCAGATATAAACGGATTGTCTGAGAAACGGCAACAAAGAGATAACAGAATAACCTTCAGCAGGAAAACAACCAATCAGAAGACGTCGCTTCTCGGCTAACAATAACGAATAATAATGTACATAAAAATCTATAAATATCTGTTGATTTTCTCAATAAACGATCTGTTACCTGGCCCTTGTCATCTGTCATTACAATATTATCCAAACTTATGAAAACTGTATATGATGTGAGATAACATACCCGTAATATGGCCCAAAATAGGATTTGGTTGACTGACAAATTGACTCTTAACCAAATACAGTGGAGCTCGTCCACGAAGGTTATTCATTCGATGTGGTGGTTTTTGAGGATTGGAAATCACATTTTCTTTCTCTATGTGAAATACTAATACATGTCGACCATAACCAATACACAATAAACCGCGAATCATTGACCAAGCTGAGGCTAAAATACTCGCATGATACAACGGTGTTGTCCATAGATTTAATAAATACGGCTAAAAATTGAGGTTGAAAATGAAAAAAAGCAAGAAGAAACAAAAGAATTCTTTTCTGTATGCCAATTAAGTGAAGGCAAAAACATGCTAGTAGAAAAATTAATTTTAAAAATTTCAAAAACAATAACCGCTACCAGACAAACTACTAGTAAACTCATGTCAGCGGTGTTAGATTGTAAAATAAAACTAAAAGAAGAAAGTAAACTGTAAACTGACGTTTATAATAAAAAGCCAACGCATTCTGCTAATAGAGATATTTAGACTTTAATTCACCACCTCATCCGTTATCTATTTGCGAAGGCAGACTTGCTTAGCTGTTGAGTTACAGTAGGACACAATTGGTGAAAAGCTTTGAATCTAGCTTTTGAGCTGACAAACATTTATCAACAAATCCTTAGAAGAAGTAATGTCTCCCCCCGAGGAGACCGGAACCTGCATAACATAGCGGAAAACAGCCAGAAACGTTACTACCACCACCAGGAAATTCAGCCTCAGACTGATCTACTGTAGGACTGAGATGGATATATGAACTGATTGTCTCGAGTCCTACATAACATTATTTAAGAAAGTGTAAAAAGCAACAAACTGATTATGTGTGAGACTTACAATAGTTAACACAAGAACGCCAGTTGGTGAATATTCAATTGGAAAGACTAAAGCTTTTACTGAACCATCTGTAAATCCTAAAAGAAGTAGCACTGTAAGACAAAAAGAAAGAGGAAAAGAAACAGAAATCACACTAGCTGTCTTTGATAGACATAAAATAAAGTAATTTAATCATTTTCAGTTAAACTGAAACCTATAACCCAATAGAATTCTAACTTGGAGAAAATTCTATTAGAAAGGGTGCTGCTTTCAATGCAGAACTTGGCATTGAATTGAAGCAGTTCAAACTGTCACACAAAAGTAGATAAAAAGGAGATTCAAAAGAACTATAATGAACAGAAATATACAGGAGAAAGAAAAAGAACAGAGAGACACATAGGAACTTAATGGATTTGGGAGATTATGAACGGTGAATGCACTGAGAACCACTTCTGGCCATATCATCAATTGTCTCCAGTCTTTGGTTCTTAAAGTCTCAAGGTGTGCGACCAAGTAATCAATACCTGCCAACTTAGCTGGCTCAAGCCAACGGTCAAAGACTTCATAGATTGATGCCTGATTTTGGTTTGACCGCCCCTAACTCTTTTCCGACCTAATCCGTTATCAGTTAACACTGCTTATTAAGGAAGGTGGTGGCTCAGCACGTACAACACACATACTGGTCATCTGGGTCTGTGCAGTTCCACAACCACATTTAATGACTTTCCTTCTTTACTTAACATTTGACGCTTAACTTATTACTTACCATATTATACGATAGGGTGAGTAATATTGAGGCTAAGCATTGAGAGTTAGGTAAGGAGGGTAATTGAAGCTACATAGATTGGAATGGTCGAGACACGTGTTACGCATGCATTTCTCAACGGGTAATGTTAGCTGACAGAGAATCAAGTTGGAAAAGAGGGATCTAATGGTGGTCGAACCAAAACTTGAAATCAGTCCACCAAACCTATGGCAGTTAGCTTGAGTCACACAGGGAAGTGTAGACTACCTGGTTTGGGTCTTCGGAATGGTAAGTACCAAGGGTTGGAGATAATTGGTAATATAGCTCAAAACTGTTCTCAATGGCTGGCGCAGATGCATTCACTCTTTTTGGTCTGATATGTACATTAAACCCTAGTGTTTTTCCGTGTTACTACTACTCTTCTCCCCCCCCACATTTCTCCCTATTATCGACCTTCTTAATCTCTCTTTTTCTTTTGTCTGCCCTTGTGTGATACATGGAGTGTTGCAACTTTAACTGCTGTACTTTTGTGCAAAGTTCTACGTTGAAATCACTCAATGAGTAGGCATAGTATGCTACTTAACGAGGGAGACAGAGAGTAAATATCTGTGATCAAAGACACCTACTGGCCTCTTCAGGTCATCTGCTTCATGATAAAATTAGTTTTAACAGTGAAAACAGGTTAAGTAATTTAAAATATACCTTCATGAAACCAATTTAATTTACTACAGGTTATCGTAGTTCAATTGATGAACATTCGAATCCACCAAATTTCGGTTCAACAGATCGACTACTAAAAAGTCAGTTTCAGTAGTATAAGCCAGTTTTACAAAAAGAATTTCTGATGTTAAAGGATTGGTTAGTGAATAAAGAATATCCTTTAAGATAGCTTATTCATCAGTTCTACAGTAATGAATAATGAATAAACATCGAAACTTGCCATTATTTCATCTTCTTCGATATTAGTCAAGTTTATTTTCCTCTTAAATTCATACGAATTTTTCACTCCATGCTCCACTTTCATTTCATATGGGCTAAGAATTCGATAAGTGTATTTAGAGAGTTTGTATGTTGGAAAGTTAGTAAAATCCACTACTGGACGTAATGGAACTTCTGATTTGTGTATTATTGGTAACCCATAAAATCTACAAGGGCTGCAACTTTTTGGAGCCAGAGTAAACCAAAGTGATACACCGAGCTTCTCTTTTATTGACTGCGACATTTTGCTTCTTTTAGGCTTCAGCTTATTTAATGTCGCCCTTGATTTATTCGCGTTGAATTTTTCATAAGGTCCGTCATTAAGATAATCAATGGCCTTCTTTTCGTAATCTGCAGCCATCATGGCAACCGTGATGTTGCCTTTTGTCTGCTCTTGTGATTATAATTGATTTATCCTGTTGTAGGTTTCTTAATGCCAGTTGTTCGTTTTTATTTATATTCGGCGCATTTGGCTTCTGGTTCAGTAGTACCGCTGCAATTTTGTATCTTCTGATGTTTGCCTCTTCGGTTGTCACTGACTTTAACGACGGTTCAATTGCTGGAGCTACTTCAAAGGCTGATAAACGCCTTTTGTTTAAATTGAAATTAAGTCCCTTTTTAAGGAGGGATAGTTCATAATCTGATAAATTTCTATCAGAGAGATAGACCACCACTTTGCTCATATCCAGAAAGTTATGAATAGACGGATTTTCAAATTGATGGTGTTTAGGATTAATGTTTAGTTGAAGTAACTTGTCGAACTTGTTCGGACCAGCTTGACGAACGAAACGTTAGAATTAATCACTTCAATTTCTCTGAGATTTTACAAATATAATTTTATAAATCATTCCAATAGATTGCAGTTGAGAGCATTTGCAAGTGATAATACGCGATTTAATATAAGGTCTAACTGAACATTAGTTCAGCCACGAAACATACACCGGACCAGGATAACAATAATGGCTGGGCATGTTTCTTTTGCATACAGTACTTAGGCTTTGTAAAGCGGATTTCAATGGCCTCTACTACTTAGATTATTTGGTAGTTTGAGGCTTTTAGCAATTTACTTGGTATCCAGTAAAAGATAGAAAAAGATTCCTCATTCAATACTAGCTTTATGGCCTTTGTTTGGACAAAGTGACCTGATATCCAACTGTTGATGACGTTTATCACTTCTGCATTTAACCACGCTGGGGTATGTGTTCCCAGACACGGACAACTGTCTGTCTGGATTGAACATAGAACTTGGCACCGAAGTGCACCAGTTAGAGTTGCCTCGTTCCAAATAGCACGCAAAGGTAAACAAGATGAGTGAAGAGAATCAATAGAGCTTGACAGGTATAAAAGCAAAACAGAATGGGTAATGGCAGAAAGGAATATGAAAGATTACAGAGACTGAATACATCTGCGCCATTGACAACGATTTTGAGCCATGTCACCTACTGTCTCCAGCCATTGATTCCTAGAGTCCCGAAGGTCCCAACCCGGAAGTCTGAATCTCCCTACCTGACTCAGTTTAACTGTCAAGGATTTCATGGATTGATGAGGCCATGTTTTTGTTTGGCCACCACTTACCCTTTTCCAACCTCCACCTATATCAGCTAGTAATGCCCGTCTGGGGAGGCGATGGTTAGGCATGTGCAGCACGTGACCTAGCCATCTCAATCTATGTAACTTTATAGCCTCGTCGATTGATTTTCCCTCTCTGCCCAACACTCTACGCATAACATCAGCATTACTTACCTTATTAAACCACCTGACGTGAGAAAGAGGTACATGGACAACTAAATTCCTAAAGCAACCATAGATATAACTGGTTTCACAGGAGCCTTTACTAGAAGCAAGTTGAAAACAGCAAACAATAATAAATTAAAACTCTCATTTTTTCCGAAAACTACCGAACATGAATAAATAAAATGTTGCTCACTTACAATTTACACTATCCAAATCATAAAGTTTAAGATAATTCGGTCGTTTATCAATCATCTCATTGCGTACAACAGTGTAGGTGTAGTCAACCCATAACAAAGACATTGAAGACCTGATTGATTTGTTAAAACACACAAAAGGAGTTTAGCATAATTAGTTCACTTTGTGAATTTTGATAAAACAATATGATATGATTTTACCTAGATTACTTTTACTGAATTTCGTATCATTATTAGTATTACGACACATTCGGTGTGTTTCCAGTAGAACATAAAGCATCGGTGGTACATCCCTATTTCACTAAGTTCTCTGCGTCCACGACTGACCACAAGTTCATCCTCATATTGTGGTGAGAGCAGGCTGCTAGCCAATTGGTAGACATTAATTTACGTCAATGTCTAGGTCATTAATATTGGCCGTGAGAAAATGTGAACAAGGCTGATTCAACAAACAATCACAGCAGACCCAACGTGGGTAAATAAGATTCGCAGATATATGGCTTAACTTTCCGAGAAACCAGTCACCTTGAGCAAGAAACAACCAATCAGAAGACTGTGTTTGCTTGAATAAGCTATAATAATGTACATGAAATATATATAAATACGTGCTGATTTCCGTAATAAAACGATCTATTGTCGACCCTTGTCTTCCGTTGTTACAATATGACCTTCACCACAACAACCTCGCTTCTCATTCAGACTGCCTAACATAAGGCTTCACACAACAGTTTCTCCAGAGTGGGTCTAATTCATTTGCATCTACCTTGCATACTTGTTGGTCATCAATAAGTTTGTTGGTTGGTTTTCTGCCTGCTAGAGTTCTTTGTTACTTGTCCTTTTTACAGTCGACTGTCTGTTCTAGTAGATGTTGTTGATAGAAATTCACATTTTGGTGACGTCCGTGCGCTAGGTTTCTGAACCAGGCAGACTCAATGACTTGAAATAATGTTGCTTAGATAAATGGAAGAGGCGACTTCTTTTAGATTACCCCCTGTTGATAGTGACTGACGTTTGTTGTTCACCAGCTGCATATCTTCTCCATGAACACACACAACCACCTGAAGTCTGTCCTGTCTCTGTTACCTCTTCATCAAACTTATCGAATTGTACTTCTATAGCTATAAGGGGTAAAAATAAGAAAAAGCGACCACGGAGTGCGAACACACCAACCACCTTGAATGTATGTTTTCGTTGGGTTACAGAACCTACCACTCAGCATCAACAACAAAATTCCGTTGGATTTTCAATACAAACGTCAAGTCAGTCAGTTCTTCTATACGGATTAGAAACTTAGTGGGCGGGTCACAAAGAATATTTCCAATAGCCTGTTGCACACCTTTATCAACCAGCAACTGTCTTCGCTGGATCTATACTGAAGATCAGATGGCGGGCTGGAAGGAATCACCAACAAGAAACTGTGGGAACAAACAAAACAAGAAAAAACCAATCGCCAACCAACAAATATGCAGGAGATGGAGTGGAGATGGATTGGACACTCATTGAGGAGGCCACTGGGTGACATCGCGCGTCAGACCATTGCTCGAGTGGAACCCGAAAAGGAAGAGGCGGGTGGGTCGTCAGTGCAAGGGTGACACGGAGGAGATCGTGTGAAGAGGAGTTGAAACAGTATGGACTAACATGGATTCAGGTGAAAAGTACAGCAGAAGGAAGACACAAGTGGCAAGTGGAGACGTGCATTTGAAGCCCTATGTTCCACTATGAACAATAATAATAATACAGAACCTACCGTGTATTATACATCAAAATACCGTTTATTTACTAGGACGATTAACATAATAATAATAATAATAATCAGATACATGAAAGACGACATTTTACTCTGACTTAACTGAAAAATACATCCCAATTACAACGAAGCATATCAGTTTTCAAGTTTCATAATTATCAAAACGGTTCCATCTATTTGAACAGCGAAACTCTGCTCCCAATTATGTATTTACAAGAAAAATACAGATAACAATAATAATAAAACACCCTAATCCCAGCCACAATCCCAACCCTAATTCTAATCCCAACCATAAAGTGTTATTAAACCCTTTGGCCAAACAGTACTTAAAAACGAGATAAGGATGAAATCTGCATATCAATTCATGCACAGTGTTAATACCAGTGCTGTAATAGCCTCCAAAGCCTCAGGATGGTCGGGGGTGGGTGTATTGCGCTGCGGGTTGGCCACCCCTCCGTACACCTATTGAAATGCTCCCATATGACCGGGCGTCTTACATAGCCTCTCCTGAGGAAGTCCTACTCACTGCCTTCACGTGGCGGAGGTGTTTTTCACCAAAGTGAGAGGGCAAAAGCAGATGCCCGGCGCTCTTCACCGGATTGACTGTCCATTGGATGACAGTCTAGGGGAGATGGCTAAACCCTGATTCCAAACCTCCAACAACTGGCGTATGAAGCTCACCGGCAGACGTACGGACATAGGGCTTATTGGATGCCCTGGATGACTGGCCCCATTCAAAAAGGCGTATGAACCGGACTCCGGTCACCGGCTGGCTGACAATGGATAGTGGACTCCCTACTCCACTCCTACTGCCTTGTAGGTCACACTTGGTTGTGTAAAGGCTAGAGCTGCACTCTCAAACAAAAAGCCGAGCGATTCTGGGGACATCACTCGTACCAAATTCCCATGAAACTTCATGGTTCATGAAGCCGGCTCATCCTCCCGTAGGAGATAGCCGAAGTAAAGCAAGTAAAGCAAAGTGCTGTAATAACAGCAGGTGGTTCTGTAAACCAGCAGATGATATGCCGTCAAGATCATTGGTGCGTTCACACTCCAAGAGTGGTATTCTTTAGGTTGACCTCCATGAGTTTGTGCAACATGAAAGACAAATCACCCAAGAAATTCAAATCTTTCCAGGCTGTACTTTATTTGCGCAACATAATATACAAATCAAAGTAACGAAATCCTATCCTTCCATACTAGTTTGTTTACTAGAAAGGCAGGAATAAAAGTGGCCGGCATTCAAACCCATCAACCCATTTAGAAACAAGCTTTATTGGTTAAAGAGATCAAACTTGTGAAGCATTTAAAACAAAACAATTTAGTTTATCTAATACCCTGCCTGCAATGATTGTCAGGTCAAATACATAGGTCAGAGTATTAGAACAGGTGCAATCAGACTAGCCAAGCATAAAAACACAGCAAAATCTAGATTGCATGACCTGAATAAGATAAGAAATCTAGAGAATAGTTCAGCTATACCACTCACTACATGCAGTTACACACAACCATACAATGGGATGGTAGGATACGATGACGGTTTTAAAATCTAATGTAACAGGGTGGAGAGAGATATTGATAATAGAAGCTTTGTTCATCGAATCAACTATAAGAATACGTGTACTAGGAATGATTCACCACCTGTCCACCCAGATATCTGGAAAATTCTACTATCCCAATGGCGACAAATAGGAGAGAACACAGAAAACTATAAAAGTCAAGTTTCGAAGTCGTGTGATTATAATGGATGAAATGATTATGAACAGAAATAAATTTTGTTGGAAACCTTGTCATCCAGTAAATAATACTGTTTCATCACTGTGTGATACATCTAATAAAACAAACTAATATAGAATTATTTACTACCACAGTGCCCATGTTTTACACATATATTAAAATCCTATCCTTTTGTGAGAGCATAAATCAAACTTTTCAAGGGAAAATACTACAGAAGGATAAAGCAAGAATTAGCTTACTTATCCTTTAATTATTTATCGGTAATCAGTATACTTATATATGTTGATTAGATACTACGTAGCAACTAAATTCATATGTCTAGTCTTTCTTTTGGTGCTGATTGAATTTCATCTGCCACAGAAACAGAAGGAGTATGAATACCTTCAAGATTACAGATAAGCCTTACTGTGGAGTGCTAACAAGCACGAAACCTACGTCTAAGGCATCCTGCCGATAGCCCCCAACGATCCAATAGCAACAATTCAGAGTTCACTATGATGGAGAGCAACCAAGCCACACATTTCAAACTTCACTGACAGAATTCAGTTTGCACCAAACAAAAAACTAGACTCATGACACTGGTTACTTCTAACTAGTGTTCAATCAAAGTATACAATACATTCCTGTACATCAGCTCCGAGCCTGAATACATCAACGATAACTTCTCTGACTGCATCATAGGTGATACAGGTTCACATCTCAGAAGGGACATCAGTTCCTTCAAGACTACAGGTTCGCATCACTGATGCGTGTCAGCAAGCGCGAAACTTAGGTCGAAGGCTTCCTGCTGATTGTGTCGAACTATCCAATAAGAACAATTACATATGTTTGTGTTTTAAAGTGATCGTGTCGATAAAAATAAATACTAATGTTTACCACAAAACAAACATGATACATGTGAAACAGTACATTGAAATGAGCTACCATCAAGATCTCAAGGATAAGAGTGAAACTGCAGACAATCGGTATAAGAATTGCAGTTGTAAGCGGGCACTCTGTTTGTTTGACGGTGATTATAAGTGAAATGGAGGACGCATATTTCAAACCGTTTTTGAGAGTTACCAGTTGGTGGTGACATGTCAATAGAAATTGAACATTTCAGTCTATTGAAATCACTCAAGGGGTTATTCACAAAAATTCACCTTACCCAGTTCGGATTTAAGCTTTCGGAAGTGCTTTTGGAAGTGTGTGGGTGGTTGTTACTTCCCGGCTGCCCAAACCATGGAAGTTGATTAATTCTTCGGGTACCTGAAACAGACAGTGTTGCGTGACCGCAGGGCCCAGGGGACTCTCGTATTTCCGAACATCATCCGGCATGGTTAAGCAAGGGACAAACAAGATCTATTCGTAGCTCTATTTTAGCCCACCTTGTAGATAGTGAGCATAAGGTTGACGTTAATACTGCATTTCAACAATAACTCAAATCTATAATTGTATATATTGTTGGATTTATATGTTCAAGTTGTCCCGAGGCAGTGAGTCTGTGGTTTTGGTATCATTTTAGTTAACTGTGCTGAACTATATTGCATGTTATTGTATTGTATTGTTGTTGTCGCTTTTTCCCCTTTTTGCTGTGAATTGTTTTCCTTTTGCTGATGTTGTCCTGATTGTTTTATCCCGTTTTCCGATTTTAAGGGGAGCAACCCAAAAGGTCGCTTCTCTCTAAACTTTATCTGAATGTAACAATTCCTTTCTCAGGCGTGAGGCTAGCAACCCCACCCTGTAAACAAAAACTGCTACAGAAACTTCAGCACGATGGACCTCTTTGCATCATAAGAAAAAGTCTGTGTGGGGACATGGAACGTCCCGACTATGTACGAGACTGGGAAAGCTGCCCAGATCGCCAACGAGATGAAAAGATACGGAATCCAAGTGCTGGGAATATGTGAAAGCAGATGGAACGGGAATGGACTCACCAAATTGTCAACGGGTGAGTCAGTGATCTACTCCGGTCACCCAGAAGATAACCACATGCACACCGAGGGTATGGCTATCATGATGTCACCAACGGAAACAAAGGCTCTGGTGCAATGGGAGACGATCTCGTCCAGGATAATGACCACCAGATTCAACTCCAAAGGAGGGAAAGTGTCAATTATACAATGTTATGCACCTACAAACAACACAGACCTCGAAAAGAAAGAAGAATTCTACAGAAAACTACAGGCAACAATGGACAATACTCCAGCTGGCGACATTAAAATACCAATGGGAGACATGAACGCCAAACTGGGACCAGACAACACAGGAAGAGAACTCATCATGGGTAGAGAAGCTCTCGGAGAAATGAATGAAAATGGAGAACTCCTCGCCGACTTCTGCGCCTTCGACGAACTACTGATTGGTGGCAGCGTATACAAACACAAAGATATCCACAAGGCTACATGGGTGTCACCAGATGGGTAAACCAAAAACCAAATTGACTTCATCTCAATTTCAAGGAAGTGGAGGCGCGGCCTACTGGACACAAAAGCAAGAAGAGGAGCAGACGTTGGCTCAGACCACTATCTCGTACAAGGGACAATCCAAATCAAACTAAAAGCTCTCAGAGAAGGAGGAGCTGCAGACAGACCACAAGCCAAGTTCAACACTCAAAAACTAAAGGACCAAGATACAAAGGACATCTTCATTGCAAGCATAAAGGACAAAGCCGAGACACAAATCAACACCAGCGAAGAGGTCGGCGTCGAAAAGCACTGGGAAAACTTGAAAACGGTGTGGAGTCAAACCTGCATGGAAGTTCTAGGCAGAAAGAAGAGGCAGGACAAACAGTGGCTCACTGCGGACACTTGGAGACTAATAGAAGAGAGAAGGACAGTGAAACAAAAGATTATCCAGTGCACCGACGAGCAACAAAAACAGGAGTTGAGCGCAAGCTACAATACACTGAACAAAAGAGTGAAGAAGAGTGACAGGGAAGACAAAAGAAAATATTATGAAGCCATGGAAAGTAAATCAGAACAAGCTGCAGGCAAAGGAGACCTCGCCACACTCTACCAAACAACTAGGCACCTTTCGGGCAAAAGTTCGACACAGATTAAGCCAGTAAAGGATGACAATGGAAAGTCAATCACCAAAGAGCTGGAGCAAAGAAAACACTGGGCTGAACACTTCAAGAGACTTTTAAATCGACCTCCACCTACAACGCGCCCAACAATACCAACAACGGAAGCAGAACTACCAGTGAACATCGACCCTCCGACGAAACCAGAGGTCCTGAATGCAATCAAGATGCTTAAAGCTGGGAAAACACCGGGACCAGATGGAATCCCAGCAGAAGCATTGAAAATGGACCCAGAGACAACAGCGGACTTGATGACACCACTACTGGAGAAGGTGTGGAAAGAGGGCAAAGTACCTGAGGATTGGAAGAAAGGATACTTATTCAAACTACCAAAGAAAGGAGACTTAAGTCAATCCAAGAACTGGTGCGAAATTATGCTCCCGTCCATCCCAAGCAAAATACTAAGCCGCATCATCCTCCAGAGAATCAAACAAGCCCTGGATGAAAAACTTCGACCGGAACAAGCCGGATTCAGGAGAAACAAGTCAGGTATTGATCGAATCGCCACACTACGGATCATCATTGAACAAATCTTAGAATGGCAGTCACCTCTCTAATCACTCAACTTCATCGACTTTGAAAAGGCCTTCGACAGCGTCGATCGAGAGGTCATTTGGCAACTACTTCGCTACCACGGGGACCCATCGACAATTATACATCTCATCCAACAGTTATACGACAATGCTGCATGCCAAGTAATCCACAACGGGTAACTCACGGAATCCTTCGAAGTGAGGACGGGAGTGAGGAAAGACTGTCTACTATCGCTAATGATCTTCCTGATTGCAGTAGATTGGATAATGCGACAGACAACGGCAACCAACGAGGGAACAGGCATAAAATGGACTCACACAAAAAACTTGGAGGATCTGGACTTCGCCGATGATATATGTCTGATTTCCCACAAACTAGAAGATATGCAAGTGAAAAGCAACAAGTTGGCAGAAGAAACATCAAAGATAGGACTTCAAGTGAACATAGATAAAACAGAGGTGATGAAGATTCCTGGCCAACACCAACAGCAGCAACAACAACAGACAACAATCAGCATAAATAGGAGGAACCTGAAAGAAACAACCTCCTTCACCTACCTGGGAAGCATCGTTTCAACTACAGGCCGACGGAACTGACGAGGATATCAAAGCCAGAATCGGAAAAGCGAGGCAAGCTTTCATTGCTCTTAAGTTTGTGTGGAAGTCAACAGCACTCATAATGGCAAATAAGATCCGGATTTTCAACTCCAATGGGAAGTCAGTGCTACTATACGGATCAGAGACTTGGCCAGCGCGTCATAAAGAGCATCTCAAACAAACTTCAGACCTTCATCAACAATTGTCTTTGCTTTACACTCAAGATCAGATGGCCGGCCAGAAAAGATCAGCAACAGGGATCTCTGGCAATCAGCAAACCAACATAGCAGGAACCGACTGTGAAACAAATAAGCAGGAAGAAATGGAGATGGATTGGCCATACTCTGAGGAAACCATCAAGTGACATCACTAGACAAGCCATTGCTTGAGTGGAACCCGAAAGGAAAGCGGCGAGTTGGTCTTCAGTGCAAGGGTGACTTGGAGGAGGTCATGTGAAGAGGAGATGAAAGCATGTGGGCAGACTTGGAGCGGGATGAAAAAGTTGGCAGAAAACCGAAGGCAATGGAGACACGCAGCTGAAGACCTATGTTCATCTAGGAATTAAGAGATAAAATAATAATAATAAACTTACCGCCGGTTACGGACCACCGCAGGGTAAGTCGGGATGTACAATTTCTGGGGTTGACCCTTTCTAACCCCCTCCCTCCAGGGTGGAGAGACAGAATAGTTGGCATGCTGGTCATCTGAGGGAAACACCTCACTGCTGTTACACCCCTGTTCCCCAGAAGTACGACTTCGCCGTCAGACCCCCAGCATAGAAAGTAAGAAAGATTCTTACACGATGCCGGTAACTGCTTTTAGTCCAATCGCTATCCTAACAACCTTCCTGGCATGGTAGGACCTGCAGGAACATATGTTACAGCCAGTGTAGCTTGTTGGGTCATCGCGATAGGCAAGCCCGACCACCACGTCAAGGTAGCAACTATCGGTCGGGAGTCCAGGTTTAAACAGTCGAGTAGTGTTGTCATCACCCCTCAAAAAAACTTACTATAAAGTACATGAATGTGTCTGTGATTGAAGAATTGCATCCATACTGTAGTGTGCGCTACTGACAAAATTTATTAGTAGTATAAACACGCAGATATGAATATGTATATCATTTGCCAAAATATCGAATAGTGGAGGGCTATATTTATTTAATGGTGACGAGAATGAATGAAAAACGCTTGTGAAAGAACATGGAAAGGAAGACTATTAAAAAAAAAGAAATATGCAGAGGAATACAAAATAACTTACACTCCAGTAAATGGTACTGTAGTCATCCAAATTGAAAATGCACCGGATTTTTTTAAAACTGCTAAAAATGTTACAGGCGATAATGGAAATGATGCAGTCGTTACAAGCTGTTCTGGATCAACAGGTATTACATAACACGAGTTAGCGTCTTTTACAGATGTCTCAGAGTAGAAATTTACTGAATTTGTTGATTTCGTCATCTGCGGTCGACGAATTATTTGACACCAACTTGTATAAACGATAATAATATCTTCAATTGCATCAAAATAATCCATCATATTCGAACAGGTCAACGAGGAGGCAGTTGTCATTAATTCACCTGGCTAAAAATAATTAAAATTCAAGGGGGAGGGGGGCTAAGGGAAACAAATTTACTCAAAATTTGATGACAGTAATTCCTACCATATATAGTTTGAAATTGTTTTTCCTATGCTTTGAAGTTTGTGTAGCAACTGGATCAATTTCTCGAGGTGAAGGTTCCTAGCCCCACCTCCAATCCTCCTTCTTTTTCCCGGTATACATATAGAGTAGTGAAATAGGCGAGTCATTGAAAAATTTCCCGAAAAGGTCACTGCATACTTTCATGAACAGCTGCCTTCCCTTAATTCCATAAGGCAGGAGTAACGAGCCAACTAAAAACCTAATGCCCAACAAGTATGCATGAAGAAATGGAGATGGAATAGAAGTACGCTGATGAAATCGCTGGGTGACATCAGGCAACACATCACTGAGTGGGACCCGAATGTGAGACAACTAGTTGAGTGTAGTTTCCAGGGTGACACAGAGATCTCGTGAGTGGGAAAATAAAAGCTTTAGGGGCGATCGCGGGGCCAAGTAAAAAAACTGCAGAGAACATAATGAAATGGAATTGTGCCGCTGAAGCCCTATGTTTAACTTGGAACCAGTATATATTTTTACTGTTGAACCAAAAGGAATTAGAATAAGGTTTACCTTCAGTGCTCAGTGAACCTGCCGACCATACCCATGGCCCGAGGTTCGATTCCCTGTCGACGCACACCTGATATCTATGGTCAGTCTGCAAAATTTGGGCTACCGATATTACATGCTGAAAATTCCATACCTGTACCAAAAATACAGTGTGGAATCAAGCTGTAATCAAAAAATAAAAAATGACAGTAATCCATCAGTTAACTGATCTCACCACGTGTCAAGTAATCCACAGCAGAAAACTCAGCGAAGCCTTAAGAGTGAGGATAGAATTAAGACAAAGCTCCCTACTATCACCGCTGATATTCCTAATTGTGGTCGATAGGATCATGCGGAAGACTGTGGGGAGCGAAAAGAAAAGAATACGTAGCACCGATAAGAAGACTCTACAAGATCAGGACTTCGCGGATAATTTATGTCTACTGACACACAAGCTCGACAATTAACAGGCGAAAACCAACAGGATGGCAGGACTCCAAGTAAACATAGAGAAGACAGAGGTGATGAAAATAATCAAACAACTACTATCAACGGAGAAAGTTTGAAAGAGGTCACTTCCTTCACTTATCAACTACAGATGGCACGGATGAGGATGCCAAAACCAGGATCAGAAAGGCAAGACAAATCTTCATTACTCTGAAATTAGTTTGGAAATCTTCTGCACCCAGAAAAAATTACTCATTTTCAACACTAATGACAGGTCAGTAAGTGCCTCTATATGGTCCGAAAATTTGGCGCGTCACGAAAAGCATTTCGAACAAGTTACTTCAGACGGTTATCAACAGCTATCTTCACTGTATACTGAAGACCAGATGGTAAGCCATAAGGAATTAACAACAAGAAACCCTGGGAACGAACCAAACAAGAACCTACTCCTCAACAAATATACAGAAGAAAAATGGAGATGGATAGAACACACGCTAAGGAGACCGCTCAGGGACATCGCACACTGGACCATTGAGTGGAACCCGAATGGGAAATGACGAGTTAGGTGTGGGTTCGAGGTTGACATGGAGGAGATGACAGACTATGGGCAATCGTGGGGTCACACGGAACCCAGTGAATAATAGTAATATATAGCTAACTTCATTAATATTGATTTCACGGTATCCAACAATTATTTTATTCCATGACATATTAGGAGATTAAGTAAATTCACAATAGGGTCCAATGCCAAATGTAAATATACCTGTACTTGCGCCTTCGGCAATAATTCAAATTAAAGCATAAACTACGAAACTGAGTTTTGTAAAAATAAATAAATAAAATAGAATACGAACACTTCACTGTGGAAGAGTATTACATTCCAAAGGAACTAACTAATCAGTGACCCTTGAAGGCATACATTAAAACACCAAAATAGTATGCGGCAGAAGAGAAGACACACTATATAGTGCCTTTAAACCACTTGACCACACCCGGTAATCGCTTTGAAAACAAAACAATAAAATTGAAGAGTTTATCCACATTAGAAAAGATTACTGATGTCCTCAGAACATGGAAAAGATCGATATTGTACATAATTCTCATGGAAGTCTTATACTTGTTAATTATATGTTTTGTGTGCGCTGTTGGCTCAGTGCCAGAATTCTCACCGACTACGCACATCATTAACCTCGCCTAGACTACTAGCTTGCTAGTTTTCTAGCCGGTTCCAAGGCCGGATAAAGAGGGAGGGTTGGGGCGTTGTGCTAGCAACTCCACTCCCAAAACTCAACCAAACCGCTACAGAAACTGCAATGCACCAATATATTAAAAATTCTAAAAATATAAACAGTAACCCTATTTTTAGCTAGAATCGGGGAAGTGAAATGACGCAGGCTGGTGAAAGCCTTCGGGAAGCCAGTCAGCCGATGTGTCTTCTTTCGATGAAAGCAAAAATAAGGATGGGTACCTGGATTTTGCGGATGATTTATGCTTGATGTCACACAAAATCGAAGACTTACAAGCGAAAACAGACAAACTGGTCGAAGAAACAGCTGGCGAAGACAGGACTCCAGGTGAACATAGGTGAACAAGACGGAGGTTATGAAAATAACCAGCCAACAACAACAACAACAAAACCAACATCCAGCGCCAATCACCATCAACGGGAGGGATCTGAAAGAGGTTAGTTACTTCATTCACTCACCTATCTAGCATTCAGCATTGTCTCAACTACAGGAAATCGGAACGGACGAGGATGTCAAATCGAGCGAGAATCGGGAAGGCGAGAAACACATCAACATCATCAACCTGAAACCAATCTGGAAATCTTCGTCATTCAGCCAGCATCAACAACAAAATTCCGTTGGATTTTCAATACAAACGTCAAGTCAGTCAGTTCTTCTATACGGATTAGAAACTTGGTGGGCGGGTCACAAAGAATATTTCCAACAACCTGTTGCACACCTTTATCAACCAGCAACTGTCTTCGCTGGATCTATACTGAAGATCAGATGGCCGGGCTGGAAGGAATCACCAACAAGAAACTGTGGGAACAAACAAAACAAGAAAAAACCAATCGCCAACCAACAAATATGCAGGAGATGGAGTGGAGATGGATTGGACACTCATTGAGGAGGCCAGTTGGTGACATCGCGCGTCAGACCATTGCTCCAGTGGAACCCGAAAGGGAAGAGGCGGGTGAGTGGTCAGTGCAAGGGTGACATGGTGGAGATCGTGTGAAGAGGAGTTGAAACAGTATGGACTAACATGGATTCAGGTGAAAAGTACAGCAGAAGGAAGACAGAAGTGGCAAGTGGAGACGTGCATTTGAAGCCCTATGTTCCACTAGGCACCCAAGGGAACAATAATACGCACATCATCCCCATTCGATTATCGGCTGACGCTACTAGCAATTAGTAAGCCTCGGATGCAGGGCTAGCAATCCCACCCTGTAAAAAATAAACACCACTGCTACTGGAACTTTAAAGCTCAAGCTTGAAGCCCTACTTTTTACACCTGAAATAAAAAGGAATGTAAAGAACAAAGGAAAAACGGCTTCATGGTCATATCCTTATAAAACAAACTAACCTTGAAGATAAACTGTGGCCCGCTGTCGACCAACGGTTTTCTGTTTTGTGCAATTCTACCATGTTCAAGATAATACTGTTGCCAAATTAATGATATATCAACTGACTAATAAAAAGGAAGACACAAAGGTATAAAAATTAACCACAAAGATGAACTAAGGCGTAATGTGAAGAACAAAACAATAATAAACGGTGATGGAGTGGAATTAATGAATGCATCAAGTACTACTTTGATTGGACACTAGTCAGTAACTAGCATAGCCTAGCCTAGTTCTCTGTTTACTGCAAACCACTAAGTGATCGCTATATGTCGTAAATTGGCAGAAGTTTGAATTCATGGGCTATTGCATCGGGTCCCAGGGGCTTAATGGTCTATGAGCTTGCCTTGTAATCAGAAGATCCTCGCTTCGAACCCCGACGGATGCATACTGATGAAAAGCCCCAAACTAGACTGACGAAACAGCTTTCCAATACTCCCAGGCTTTCCAGTGGTTCTTTAACCGATGTCAGCTCATGATATGAAATCCTCCAACCAATGAATTCTATCAGTCAATGCTAGTTGGTTCGACATAATGGTGAACTCAGAATTGTTGTTATTCGATTGTTGGAGGCAATCGGAAGGAAACCCAGCCTGACCTAGGTCTCGTGCTTTTCGGTAGCCACTAGTCAGCAAGACGTATCTTCAATCTTGAAGAATGAACTCATATTCCTTCTGAGATTCGAACCCGTATCATTCAGTACTGCAGTCAGAAACATTAGCATTGAGCTATTCGAACTCACGATTAACCTCCAGTAGGACTGTATTGCATACTTTCATAGGACACTAGTTAGTAAATAGTCTCATGTATCTAATCCTTTGTTTGGTGCAAACTGTGTACATCTGAAGACAAATCCATTCATCCAAGCACACGTAGAGAACTTTCGATAAGGCTTTTTTACCAGTTAAAAACAGGTTCCGTCAGTTGTTCGACAGCTGAACTAGTTCCGCAGTGTCATCTAAGACTAAATTTTCAACGTAGAATGTCAAACGCAAAAGAAACTTAGGTATGATGGAGAAGATTTGTAGCTCAGGTGGATGATTTTGACGTGGTTGTGTTCTCTGAGCCGGATAGTTAATTTCCGAAGCTTTTATTGCCCTACCAGGCAACATCTTCAGGAATTGACGTCGTACACAAACCAACAAAATCACTTCACTCATTTCCATGTCAACCAAAAGACAACGAAAAAAGATAAAACCAACAACATCTACAAAATAAATTGTAACAAATGCAAAAAACACTACATAGGCCAAAGTGGACGTCGTCTTCGTCTTCGTATCCGCAAACATAAGCTAGCCGTCAAAAGACATGATATCGACTCCCTTATATCATTACATACAGACAACCACGGACACCAGTTTGACTGGGACAACCTTAAAATTTTAGACAGAGGAAACGCCAAGAATGCTAGAGAATTTTTAGAAGCCCTCCTGGTATTCCAGTGAATCGTCAATCAACAGACACATCGAGATAGACAAAGTTTACTAACCGATAAGAAGGAAATCTCACACACAAAGGGTCAAAGTTCAAGCCAGGGAAACAATCAATTCCAATACAAGTAACCTAGAGGGTGTGAAAACATACAAAAACAATCAATCACGTTCAAGGTCAACGACCAGGAGAAATGACTAATAAACTCGTGACGAAATCTGAAAACTCACTTCAAATTGAAGTACGCTCTGAGTTGAGGATGTTGCCTAGTAGGGTAATGAAAGCTTCGCAAATTAACCATCCAGCTCAGAGAACACAACCACATCAAAAAGAAAAAGAAACTACCCAAATTGTCACACTTCACAAAAGCACATATAAAAGCATTAGAAAATTGTACTAAACGAAAATCTACGAGAGAAAGATTAAGTGTATGAAGAATAAGGAGGCTAAAATTTTCCCATTCACAAACATGAAAGTGGAACAAATTAATTTCGACGGCAATTAACTTGCAAAGATTAGTTTTAGTTTGAAGTTATGGTTCTCCACTAGTATAGATCCATGAGTATATTAACCACTGAGTCAACGACATTCCACCCTTTGTTCCACATTCTTCTAGGTATTTCCAACATCTGTCCGCAAATACTTTTGCTAAGACTAATCACGAACTCACTTAATACAGAGAACCAATGAAAACTAGGGAGTAAGGGACAGCTGCTTCGTCCTTGTTTGAGACTCTTCAACAATCACATGCATAATCCCAACGAGGTTTGAACCCAGAGCCCTCAATATACAAATGGACCCCGTGACGCAAGGATGAAGTCGCCTGAAGTTTTATTGAGAAGTCATGACCATCGGGGCTCATCAAGGTCGATGTAAGGACAAAATACTCACCGGTAACATCGATTAGCCGTCGCACTGTATGTCGTGAATCGGTAGAAGTTAGAATTCAACGGCCATTGGATCCCGTCTCAGTAGCTGAATGGTCTACCAGATCACCACGTAACCTGAAGGTTATGAGTTCAATCTCCAGTAGTAGCATAGGTGCGTAATACTGAACAGTTCCAAATTGGGACAAGATAACTGTCCAGTACTCCCCAGTTTTTAAAGGTTCTCTAACTGAATCCAGTCCGTGATCCACCTTAAAATCGATTAAATCCCTGCAGACAAATACTTGGAAACACTGTCCTTTCTTCAAGGTAATCACTTTGGAAGAGATAACATGCTTTTGAATTTAAACACTTGAATCTATCAATGCACCCTTTATTAACTGGTCTGTCTGTCTGTTTTCGACATAGAACTTTGCACAAATGTGCGGAAGTTCAAGTCGCCACTTATTAACTGGTATTGATCAGTAGACTAGCACGCTTTTAGTAAAAGTTTAAAACTAATCCGTCATCAGAGCTCATACGCCACGGAAAGCTTCTGTTATCAATCTCTCCCTTCACCCCGTTACACTAGGTTATAAAACCATCATTTTATCCCATCATCCTATTGTATGGTTGTGTGTAATGGCATGTAGTGCTATAGCCAGCTGAACTATTCTCGAGATTTCTTGTCGTATTCGGGTCTTATATTATTCGAAGTTGTGTGATTATAATGGATGAAATGATTATGAACAGCAATAAATTTTGTTGGAAACCTTGTCATCAAGTAAATAATACTGTTTCATCACTGTATGATGCATCTAATAAACAAACTAATATGGAATTACTTACTACCACCACCAAAGTGCCCAAGTTTTACGCATATATTAGTAATCACAGTAGAGAATTATTAGAAACAGGTTTAAAGCTTACCTCTTCCCACATTTCAGTTCCTTTAAGTCTGCATAGAAATGATCGATTTTCTAGTGTTGTTACACTCAATATACACCTGAGAAAAATGAAATAAATAAAATATCCTCTTTATATAAAGTTAATGTAATTGAGAAATGAAACACCTACAAATGTTGTGACTAGAGAACATTTTGATAATAGGAGACTTTCTAAACTGGCATAAAAAATGGCAAAAGCAGTCTTTTAAAAGCAGCTGTCGCCATAGATTTCTTGAAACATTGAAATACAAATTATTATGGATGCAGAACCAGTACGATGAACGTGTACTACCTAATCCTACTGAGAAATAGAAAAATAACTAAAAGTATCTTGCTATAAGCTAACACACTTTGAGGCAGCACACAAAAAGAACGTTAACACTTGTTATTATTGTTCCCTTTAGTTCCTAGAGGAACATAGGGCTTTAGCCGAACGCCTCCATTGCGTTCGGTTCTCTGCCAACGTTTCCACCTGGCTTCACGTCTGCCCACATGATTTCATCTCCTCTTCACATGACCTCCTCCATGTCACCCTCTCACTGACGACCAACTCGCCACTTCCCATTCGGGTTCGACTAGAGCAATGGCCTGTCGTGTGATGTCACCTGATGGTTTGTTTTCTCAGAGTATGGCTAATCCACCTCCATTTCTTCCTGCATATTCTTTACACAATCAGTTCCTGGTTGGTTCGCTCATTGACAGAGAACGCTGTTGCTGATCTTATCTGACCAACCAACTGATCTTGAGTATTGGGCAGAGATAATTGTTGATGAAGATCTGTAGTCTTTTTGAAGTGCCCTACGTAACGCGACACCAGGCCTCTGGTCCGTATAGTGAGTAGCACTGACTTCACATTGGAGTTGAAAATCCGGATTTTCATGCTGAGTGCTGTTGAGTTATCTCCATACAAACTTGAGAGAAATGAAAGCTTGCCTTGCTTTCCCAACCCTCGCTTTGATATCCTATTCAGTTCTGTCCTTCTGTAGTTGAAAAAATGCTTCCCGGGTAGGTAAAGGAGGTTGCTTCTTTCAAATTTTTCCTATTTATGCTGATTGTTGTCTGCTGTTGCTGTTGGCCAAGAATCTTCATCACCTCTGTTTTCTTTATGTTCACCTTAAGTCCCTCCTATTTTTGATGCTTTTTCTGTCAACTTGTTGCTTTTCACTTGCATATCTTCCAGTTTGTGGGAAATCAGACAAACATAACAAATGTTAAGTAAACTCGCATGACTAAAAATGATAAAAATGAGTGGACGGAAGACACGAAAGTTGACGGCAATACTATTTTATTCAGTCAAGATGCATATGAACGACTAAAATGGGTGATTGGTAGTCACGCATACTAAATATTCCTGTACACTAGCTACGCTTAGGTGACCCAAACAACAAAAGACAGTTATATAGAGCCGAATTCACAAATGATTTGGGCTGATCGATTCGGACTACAGAGCGCGATTTAACATCTGTCTGTATGTTTTCGACATAGAACTTTACACATATGTGCGGCAGTTCAAGTCGCCACACTCCATGTAGCACACAAAGCAACAGAAGAAAAAAGTAGAAGAAATGCATAATAGAGACAGTAAACAGAGATGTGAGACAAAGGAATAGTAATAACGAAGAACAAAACAGTCTCACTGGAAAGTCACAAGGAGTGGATGCAACTGCACCAGCCATTGAGAACGATTTTGAGCCATATCACCAATAGTTTCCCACGAATAGTTTTTACTGTCCCGAGAACCCCAACCAGGAAGTCTAAACCTTCCTACGTGACTGGCTTAGACTGACTGTTGTAGATTTCATTGACTGGTGCCATGTTTTGGTTTCACTGCCACTAGTTCTTCTCCAGCCTGACCCTATATCAGCTAACATAGCCCATTGTCGAGGAAGGCGATGACTAGGCAGGTATGCGTAACACATGTCCTAACCATCTCAGTCGATGTAACTTCACAACCTCGTCGATTAATTTCCCCTCCCACCTACCTAGCACTCGACGGACGCCTAACCTCAATATTGCTCACCTTATTATACCACTTCACACGGGAAATAGAGCGCAGGCACCTATGATCAAAGACAGCTAGTCTTTTCATGTCTTCCACTCTGAGTGGCCAGGTCTCACAACCATAAAGGAGGACGGAGCGGACTGATGAGCAGTACTGCTCATCACAAAAGAAGCTATAAAATGTTCGTTTGCTTTAACGTTGGAACATTTTGTGATTGGTAAAATTTCTCAAACCAATAGTCAAAATTTTCAAGAGCAAATGCTTGTATGCATATTCAATAATCATAACAAAACTACGAAAATCTTATTACGAAGTGACTTTATTTAAAGAACCACTGGAAACCAGGGAGTAGTGGACAGTCGTTTCGTAATGGTTAGGGACTCCTCATCAGTAAGCACCCATGACCCGACCAAGGATCAAACCCAGGATTTTCAGCTTACAACATGAACGGACGGAACCCAATGGCTTACCAATCATAAATTCCGACAATTTGCGATACATAGCGCGACCGCTAGTGAGTATTCGTCCTCATACTTACACCATCGTGAAACCCGACGATCACGACTCCTCACTAAAACTTCAGGCAACTTCATCTTGTAGTCAATCTCTGGTGAACCCTAGACTAACTTTCAAGTCTTGGTTTGCAAGAATCAAACTTCAAATTAGTCGAATTCCTGAACACCAACGGTTGGAAACATAGTGTTAAAAGAGGAAACATAACTGTGAACGATGTATCAAACAGAAAATAAATAGGTGAGAATAACAATGACAGTTAGCAACCGATAAAGGATTACTAACCCATACAATGCTAGTGTTTTCTTTTCATTATCATACACCGAAACTACTATTTAAGCGTTTTACAAAAAGCACAGACATATTTCCCCAGTCATACTCCGTACACAAAGAAAAATACTTGAAAATATAAACTAAAAAGAAAAAGCTATTTCCGCCCCCCAAATATTAAACAAACCCACCTTTCGTATTTATCAACTCCTCGAGGACTCCAAGAAACTAGCCTTGCCCCATTTCTAGCATGCAATACATCACGTGTTGTTTGTTCATAAGGGAAAAGAATAGATCTGTTCACGTTTTCTTTCAGTGCAGCTTCTTAATTTTCAAAAGTGATAAAAAAAAGTTTTACATAAAAATCACAAGTTTTTTTCTCTCTCACTTATTTCATCATTAATTTGAGATCCCTTTATAACATAATCATTTTCAAGTTCAATGCTTATGGAACAACGAGCGGTAAAGTTGACCTCTTGAGCACTGGCTATCTTCTTGAAATCACCATCCAATGACAATGTGAAGTTCTACATTAAAGTAATAGGTATAATTAATTAAAATTACTCCCAAAGTATATTGCAATACAAATGTCAGTTTACAAAAAAGTAGAGGAAAAATATACCCTACACCAGCAAAAAAAACTAGAATCAAATAGGTATAATTAGAACTTTGTCAGCAGAATATTATTATTATTAATTCCTTCACATTCCCAGTGGAGCATTAGGATTCAAGCTAGAAGCTTGAGGTTTCTGTAGCAGTGTATATTTTTACAGGATTGGTTTGCAAGCCTTATGCCCAACCGTCCCTCTCTACCAGCTTTATTTCTCGCTTAGCGAGGTAAAGGAGTGTGTAGGCCAGGAATCGAACCCCGGACCATGTGCACAGTCGGCGAGCGTCCTAACCGCTGTGCTACCGACGCACCATGTTATGTTATATTTTTATTATACATGAGTAATATAACCTAGCAACGCAAACAGTTTACGAACATTTATACCTCAACAAGTGGTCATCATTCTTAGCGTTCAAGTTATTGATAAAATTTCCTTCAAACCTTTCAAAAGACCTACAGAACAGATTTGAGGTAATCCTTTATTAATAATTTCGTTAACTTTTAGAAAGAATCTCACTTTTTATACTGTAGAAAATTTCAGTATGATTTAGTCCTAGAAACTAGTTTTAGTGCGATTAGACTTTTCAGTTTTCTATAGATGAAGAGACGTCAAATCAAAGTTGAAAGATCACAGCGATAAACAAACGAGCCTATTTTACCACAAAGATATCGAAATAAATAAAAAAACTCAATATTCCTCGATACGACTTTATAACAAAATTAATGAAGAATTAAGCCAAGTGGGTCCTGTTATTATAGCGCTCTGGGAAGCATTACAGTCATTCCAGAGTGGTATGGAATATCCAATTAAGTGAGGCTTAATAAAAAAAGGATAAGAATACACTCAAAGTAGGTGAAAGAATAACTAATTTTCAGACCACTGAAAACTAAATACTGAGCATTATTATGTAGTGAATAAGCCAATCAATGTTAAATTCGTTTTATTCCATTGACATTCCACTACCAATAGTCATGGAATTTCATTACAGACACAAAATCACAGTCTCTCCCTATTTGGCATGACCTCTGTGTTCCAGAAATATACTCACAAAAGAATAAATAGTTTACCATAAAATTCAAGCTGGAACAACACACAGTTAGTGATTCTTACCAATATATACAATTTGTCAGATGTCAAAACAGCGATTTTGTCCTCTGGAGAACCCACGCATCCTCCACTAGTACAAATACGACCTTTAATTGGCAAAACAGCAGATGTTTTCGGCGTCAAATTAGAGCCACTCATCAGCACCGCCAACCAGGTAAGACACTTTGAAAAACCCTTAGCTTAAGGGGTGTTTCAATGAAGTTGACATAAATTAAGTATGCAATCTGAAAAAGACAACAACAATCTTATATGGACGGAATATCTCCATAATGAAGCATAAGGAAATGACATAAACAGAGAGAAATTTTTCTTTCCGACAACTCATTTCCAAAAGCTGTAGAATTTATGAGACCAGTGGAACACTGGTAAATTTGCTGTACAAAATGTAATACATAAGATTTAATCTAGAAGGGGATGACTGAATGGAGATTAGAAAAAGGAGGCAGAAGTCAGGATAAGTGTGAAAAGTAACTAATCAATATAACTGTACGAAGAGGACAAAAACTAGTAGAAAGATAACCTGTTTTTATAAAAAAAATCTGTAAGAAAATGCATTATTATTAATAAACTAATAGAGTGACAGTAAAATACAGATAAAAACAATAACAGTAAACTTGCATAATAAAATGAAGAACACTATTCTATCCACGATATGGTGAGTGAATGCATGTAGTACTTTTGAACACAGAGGTCCAGTTTTGGATCGCCAGTAGCCAGTGATTCAGCTATTCACAGATGGCGTATTCGAAGTCCTTTTGTGTGCTATTGAGGAACTCTGCACAGCACCATGAAGCAGCCATACGAGAGTGCCCGGTGTCCATAGGTGACAAGGTGTTTCAGGATAGAGCTACTGGTATTCTTCTTTTCCCCTCTTGGCTAGCCGAATTGGACATTGTCCAATTTTGTTGGTTGTATATTGATCATTGGATCCAGTAGTCTTGTTTTCCAATAAGTAGTAAATCTAAGAACGGAAACGGATTCCTGTTCTAGGATGTCTACTTTGTAGTTATATTGATTAGTTACTTTTCACACTTATTACGTTATCCCAACTTTTACCTCCATTTTCTAATCTCCAATCAATCATCCCCTTCTAGATTAAACCTTATACTGTGTATCACGTTTCGTAGAACGAATTTACCAGTATGACTGGTCTTATGGATTCTTTGTTAAAAATAAATACGGTTGTACAGCTTTTGAAAATGAGTCACCGGAAGGAAAATTTTCTGTTTGTTTCAGTCCTTTACTTACGGAACAATGTCATAGTAAAATTCAGTACGAGGGAGTAATATTGCTAGAAAAACCCCTTGATTGCCAAGTTTGATTGGTCAAAGTAGAAGTGATAAAGTGGCTGAAAGTGAAAGTTCGTTCAAGACATATTTCTGGCATAATTTTAAACATTTGCTGAATCCTCAAAGCTACTTAAAACTTATTTGACATGAAGTTAAGAGTTCCACTTTCACCGTGATAAGTGACCAGTAAGGATTCGTGAATCGATTCAGCATTTATGAGTTCATCGGTATAACTGCTCATCGACTCCCATGAGCTGACTCACTGGTCTCGTAACAAGTACCCCACATTTATTTTATTAGTTTCAGGAATTCATTATGTTTATATAGAAATGGAGTATAAAAACTCAGCAAAATATACAGTGAAAATGTTATTATAAGGTGGAAAAGAAACACTTAATCTAGGGAACAATCAAGATGAAAATGGCCTTAAGAACTAGAGGAGATAAAAACAGAAATTATTCCGAATAACAATGAAAATCTGAAGACTAGTGAATCGTTTAAAATGACAGCTCATGAAACAGATGAACGATGGCAATGTGGTCCTAATGGAATATAGCAAGTTTTGAACACCATATTTAAAACTGGCAATTAAGACACACGACTTAATCTTATGTAAAATGAAGTTTCTGTTCACATCCAAATCATAGCTTAAAAACTTAAAGTATGTGTGAAAAAGTTGACATATTTTCTCCGTTTATCCATGGATAAATACCACTTGACTGGCCAAAATTCCACAAGATCAAGTGAATGCATTCATGGGAACTCGTTGCTTTATATTATCACGTTCTAGAACATCACATAAAAGTAATTACTTTTACTGGGAAGGAACCTTAAGCCTCTTACCCAAATCGACAAAAATGGGGAAAATCGTGTCTAAAATGGGGACAAAATAGGGACATTGCATTGAGTAAAATTGGGGACAAAATGGGGAAATAGTAAGATTTTCCCCCCTTTTCCCCATTTCGTCCCCATTAAAACCCCATTTTCCCCATTTTGTGGCTATAGCCACAAAGAAAAATGCACGGAACACAAAGAACAACTGTATGAGGAATACAGTTCACTCAGTGTCCACTAAAATGAATAATGTTTCAATATATGCTTGAAGTTAGCCCTGGCCAGGACCTTGCAGTTAAACGACATCTGAAAACGTATCAATGAAAACCTTTAAATTCTTGCAGCTGAGGAAAGCAAATGGCAGGTCTTATTTCCAACTTACATGGGAGCTCGAATTGTAACACTTAAGTATTATAATTGTGCGCCCATTCGCCTTACAAAAAACATGACCGATTACATACAGATTTGAAAACTCGCTCGACCTTGAGCGAAGGACAGCGCTCAAATGCCAAAACTTCTTGCATCAGAAATAAAATGGGCCAAGTCAAACTTTAGACACCACTGACTGCCAACGGGGTGAGGCTGTACCACTGATCTTATATGGTCCAATGAGACTTATTCCTTTCAGTTGGAGCTTCTGCTCCCCTCGATTCGAGTCAAATGCGTGCAGTTTGGTGAGGATCAAGTCCCCTATATTGCTTAGGTGTGTGCTGATCAGGAAAGAGAAATAATTATGTTAACTCCACTTAATAAATATTATAAAACAGGAGGAACTCAGTCAAGTGGTTTAGAACTAGCTGCATAAGTAAGAGGATTGAAATACATGTGACTGACTGAGCTGAAGACTGAACTATTCTTAGTCCAATATCCAATATCCTGATTACGAGCTAGTATAAACCAGTGATTTCTTTGAGCTCGCTTCTTGATTGTGAGGTAGAGGTTCCAGATCTTCGGTGAGCTTCTGCGTAGTAAGTCCCGACACTCGACTGCTTTAGCTCTGGTAGACTCCAGGAGGAGTGGTGCGGGGATTGGTCGAGATGTGGTTTGTAGTATGCAGTATGTTAGGACTGTATTGCTGCCGTGAATGGAGTTTGACCTAACTCCCCTTGGTCATTCGGTGTAGTCATAAAAGCAGAATAGTAATAATAATAATAATAGGTTGTAGTGTAGATAATATAGGTTGAGATAAGTGGAATAATAAAGGTGACCTAAGGAAAAGATAGAGTGAGAGAAGGCAGAATAGGTCGTGGGGATTTAGTTTGTACGCTTATTCATTGACAGTTTGGTTTCAAATTTTATGAGGATAAGCCATTGAGACACAAACCTTGCATTTCTGCATGATTGTCTAGCTTCCGCTTAAAAATCTCCAGAGATGGCGCTGTAGTCACGGCCGCCGGTAAAGCGTTCCAGAGACGGCAAACACGAAGCGAAAAGAAATGTGATCGCACTCGAGTCTTTGGTCTCTGGTGTGCTATCCTTAGCGGGTTACCTCGTGGAAGCCTATAATCGCTTAATGGCAGGATGCTTTTATTTGGGTGGGCCTGGTCATTTAGGATCTTGTAGACGGTGATGAGGTCTCCCCTGTGCCTACGGTAACTAAGTGTGAAAAGACCTAATTTCTTTAGTCTTTCCTCATATGATTTGTTGCGGAGGCCGATCACCCATTTTGTCGCTCGTCTCTGGACACTTTCTAGAATGTTAGCATCCCTTTTGAGTAGCGGAGGTGCAATGATATTATGCACCTCAAGGTGTGGCCTCACATATGCCTTGTATAGCCTTAAGAACAGTTCGGGAGTGAGAGCTCCCAGCTGCCTGTGCATAAAGTGTAATGTTGCGTAGGCTTTGGCGACGTCCCTCGAGTAATTTCCACTGGTGTCTAGCTTTTCTGTTAGAATAAGACCTAGATCACGCTCTGATGGAACACAACTCAAGTTCTGGCCACCAAGGGTGTAATTTACACTCTGTGACCTGCCGGAATGAAGCTGCACTACTTTGCACTTCTTTAGATTGAAAGGCATTCCGTTAGCCAAAGCCCAATTTCCCAGAGTTTGCAGGTCAGCCTGCAATCTATCTGAGTCTTCCGATGAGTTTATTGCTCTCCAAATCTTTACGTCGTCAGCGTAAAGAAGCGCAGAGCAGTTTAGTTGGGGGGCAGGTCATTGATAAAAATCAAAAACATCAACGGCCCTAGGATAGAACCCTGAGGAACCCCTGATGCCGAGGTGTGCCAGGATGATCGGATGCGGTTGACTTTGGTGCAGAATTCTCTCTCGCCTAAGTAATCTTTCAGCCATGCGAGAAGTGCTCCAGAAACTCCCGCCTTGCCTATTTTGTGAAGGAGCAGACCATGGTGAACTGTGTCGAATGCTTTCGCAAAGTCGAGAAAGATCACGTGGGCTGGTACCTTTTTGTCCCAGGATAGTGTCCAATCGTTCCAGGCTAGTAGAAGATTCGTCACGCAGGATCTTCCCCTCCTGAAACCGTGCTGTGCTTCGTGAAGAAGGTTAGTCCCATCGAAGTATTTTCTCATGTGGTCGTCAATGAGACTTTCCAATATCTTCGATACCACTGGAAGTAGAGCAACTGGTCTGTAACTGGTCACATTCTGCCGGTCACCACCCTTGAAGATAGGGGATAGGATTGCACGTTTCCATTCACATGGAAGTTTCCCTACATCAAGGGAGTGTTGGAACAGATCACTTAGGGGTTGACAGAGACTTTCTGAACACTGCTTCAGGACAGATGGTCTGATGCCATCACAACCTGGAGACTTTCCCGAAGCCAACCTTCCCAATTTTGCAAGTACCATAGCCGGGGTAATTTGAAATGTCCCCAGCAGGTTTTCGTGTGTTGGTTTTGCGATGTAATCTGGATGTTCTGTAGGGGTAATATCCTCGTTACTATTTAGTTGCCTGTGAAAGGCTAGGCTGAATGTCTCTGCCATTTCAAGACTAGTAAGAGATTTCCCATCAGAACCCACTAGATTGCATGCTCCCTGGTTGGTCGGTTTTCTTTCGGCCATAAACCTGTATAGGCTTTTGGGGTTCACGAGAAGCTTATTGGCGAGGTCTCCCTGAAATGTCCTTCTATCGCTCCGGACTCGTATGTTACATCGATTCCTGAGTTCAAGGTACACTTCATATTCGGGTTGACTCTTCGATCGTCGCCACGCGAACCAGGCTTTTCGCTTTGCCTGCAGAAGGCGTTGTGTCCCTCTTTTCAGCCATGATCGTTGCTTCCTAGCTTTTGGTGAGACTAAAGGAACAGTGTCTGAGACCGCCTGGTGAATGATTTCCTTTACCACTCTCCAGTGTTCTTCTACTGTTAGCTCTGTCCATTTTTTAGGCCAGTTTGCTTCAGACAGAAGTCTTCGCATTTTGGTGTAGTTGGCTTTGTTATAACACAGATAGGGCTGTGTATTGTCCCACTGTAAGCGCTCGCGGAGGACTATGTCGAATACTATGACCGCGTGGTCACTACTACCTATGGGAGTCGTGATCTGAACGTTTTCCACTAGTAGCTGGTCACTAGTGAGCACGTAATCCAGTCTAGAAGACTTCCCATCAGGGCCCCATCTAGTATCCATCTTGACATTTTCAGTGAATCCAGCCTTCCTGATGGTATGCAGCAGATTTCGATCAAATCTATCATGGGCTTTTCCCGACACCAAGTTAAGAGATGGGGCATTGAAGTCACCAGCTATGACAATTTGATCATAACCCATGTCTTGAGTTGCTGAGATTGTATTTAGCAGTACCTGGTTGTGGTCTGCTCCACATGAAGGTGATCGATAAATGCTGCCCACTAGATATTTGCAGTACCCAACGGTGAAGTGGCACCATATGGAGTCAGGGAGCTCTGTGAGGGGAGGGTCCATCGCGTGAACACATCTGAGCTGTTTGTCGACGTATATGGCGACTCCACCTCCTTCTTTCAGGTCCCTATCTCGCCTGACTAGGACCATATCATTTATACTGACTTCGCTGTCTGCCACCGTAGGGGTTAGCCAGGTTTCCGTCAGTATTATGATTTTGGAGTTTAGTTGTGATTGTAGGTGTCTAAGTTCAGCTATTTTGCCTCTTAGCCCTCTCACATTACTATACAGGCAACTGGTAGTCAGTCTCACCACTTCCCCGTATTGGGGGGTAGTTGACTTGATATTGGCTATCGGTTGAGGAGTTATCCTACGAACTAGTTGGCCGATTCCCCAGGAACCGGCCTGTTGGCGTTTTTTTCTTCTAGTTCAGTTGGAGCACTCGGATGACACTGGCTATCATCGTCCGTGCTGCACCGCTGTAGTGTGACTAGGGGTTGAGGATTTTCTTTTACTACGCTTTGTTCTCTCCTTTGAGTGCGAGGCCGGCTCTCGCAGCAGCGAATGTGTTTGCTGACCTTGTCCTTGGTCTCGTACCATCTATGGAGAGCGGTATTCAACTGGTCTTGGGAGCTGAACTTGACAGCTAACAGACGTGGCGAGTTAATTGACATAAGATGAGTGGGTCGAGGCAGTCTATAAATAGAGACAGCCCCTGAACTTCCCAGGGCCATCTGGGATGCTAACCATCTCCATTGTTGTACATCATGACAATGCTTTTCGCAGGCGTTCCCAGTTACCAGTTCGGGAATGCCATGCACAACCATGGAGGCAGAAGGAATGAGCTCTGGCGACTCCCTCGCCATTTGTCTTTCCTTCCACGGCCTGTCTGGCTTAACACGTATGTTACAGGCCCTCCCTATAGAAAGGACTTGAGAAGCCAGTAACACTTTTTCAACATCCTCGGTAGAGCCCAATGTTACCCTCAGTGGGGATGGTTTGCCTTCAGGTGCAGCAGTGCCCCTATACAATCTGCATAGATTTACTGGTTGGATGTCCAAACCCAGTGTGCTACTCAAGATGGACCACTGTTCCTGATCAAATAGGGCCCTATCTTTCAGCAGACTACTGCTACAGTCTGGTACATTAAAGAGGATTACACAATTTGATCTGCTAACCGTGGGCTTGGGCTCGGTCCTCGCACGTTTGTGATCACCTTTAAGACCGTTTTGGTTTGACTGGTGCGACTGGGTATTTTTATGTGTCTCAGTGCTATAGCCAGCATTACTGATAGACGGTTGGGGTCTTTTTCCAACGACGGAAACCCGTGGTTCTCCAGCCTCTGTGTCTGGAGCGGTTATGGCAAGAGTTACAAGTTTAACCGGTGAGGATTTTGGTATCCCCGGTTTACGCGCGTTTGTACTAACTTCCGGATTGGTGGGGGTCGAGCTTTTCACCTTTTTCCCCGCTACTTCTGTGCCATCTTTAGTTTTCAAAGGACTACGCGAGGCTACATCAGGACGGCAACTCGGGCATATGTACCAGAACCATTGGCATGGGTTTTTACGCATAAAGTCATAATATGCTTTTGGTACCCCACTGTCGCATCTGCAATGCACCCATCGGTTGCAAAAGTTACATTCGAAAGCAGAGTCTGCTTGTTCGACAACAGAAGCACAGAC